ATTATATTATTTTATTTTAATAACAGAGTTTCTAAAATCAATATCCATTAGGTTTTTTATATTTGTGCGCTGTCGCTGCGTTCATCCTATTGCTATAAAACTGGATAAACTAATTGTTCGCACTTGTATGAAGGTTATAGGTATAATTAACTTACAGAGCGGCGCGCGTGTCGTACCGGGAAATCTATTTGAAAGGACGTTTCTGTAATTTTTCAATATTCAATTACCTTTACACTCAGCCTTTTAAAAATTGACATTGACATTGGAAAACAGTAAATATCATACAGCATATGTCACATGTACAGTTTATAACAGGGTAACCCTTCAATATTCAAATAATACCACATCAATAGAAAATATCTTTATTCATGCAGGCGTATTACACACTCGTATGACATGTCAAATCCACCGTCAGTTTGGAGTGCTTACGAGCTAAGAAGAACTACAAGAAACTCAGCTCTTATTATTTTGAAATGAGTTTGTACATGTTAAATTAAGCATGTATGCTATTGTATTTTTGTCAAAAGGAAATAATCTAATCAGCATCCGTAACAGAGCAATCCAGTTTCTACAAGGAGCATCTGTTCACAAGTATGACGGATACCACAATTATTACAATCTTTCGTTTTATTAAACTATAAATGAATTTATTTGTTTATAACACGATTAATTAAGACATCATAATTATCTCTAATATGTGAATGGACATTATCAATTACTATGCATTTGCAAATTCTATCTAAGTCTTACGTAATGTTTATAGTTACAAATAAAAAGTAAACAAGTCTACAAATTTAATCAAGTACAGAGGTAAAAATCTTTATTGTAATTAAAATAGATTAACCAATAATCTACTTGTAGTGCAGGCTCTGCTCTATTTTGGCATGAAATGTTATTAATTTATTCTTTGTATTTAAGTTTCTTCATTAAAGGATACAAAATATTCGCATTTGTTAAACTGTAAAATCTCAGCAAGTAATATGTTACGTGTGAACAATGCTGCAAAATACAATTAATAAATGAGTAAAAAAAACTGACTCCATTAAACTAAGTGGAGAATTAGTGTAATTGCCGCATTACATAAGAATAAGCAGCCACGAGTCAAATTATGAAGTACCATTTTGGTATTGAAACGCCTAAAAACAAGTTACAATGGCGAGGCATTTTTTCAACAAGAATCTGACAAAGCAACAGGTAGAAAATTGTTCAACACTCCATTCGAATGCTCCCGTGGGTACTTTTGCGACAGCTTTCATCTACAATTACTACTGAACATTACGTCCGCTTCAATATGACCTTTAACAATTCAAATAACGTAGTATGTACAACATTTTGTTCAACCAATTTGCATCAGAAAGTTCTCCATTAAATAGTTTTATGCGTGCAAGAACACCTGTATATAGTAATGGTGAAATGTAGCATGATATATATTTATGATTATTGTATAAAATACAATAATATACATATACATTTAGAAAATTGCTTTCATCGTATAAGTTATGTTCTTGCTGGGTAATAAAGTTAAAGTTATCTTTGCATTCAGAAACTTGCTACTGCCTAATGAAATACATAGTTGATGGGACTTTTTATTATTTTTCCTTTTAAATACAGTTTTCCACTTAATATCGTTTTTTTCCATAGAATACTATCTACTTTACTCTCTGAAAGTATGTATAAAATACTTTTAACTTCAGTTTCTTAAATAATTAATTATTATAGAATGAGAACAAATAGATTAAATCGTTTTGATGATTTAAAGGAAAATAATATATGTTTAGACATTATGATATTTCACTCTGTCAACCACACGGCAAACGGAGATATTATTGCAACCACGTTCTGCAAAACTCACAAAAGTCTGCTGTCCAAATTAAGGTGATTTTATTTAAATTTAAACTAGGTAATACCAACTCGGTCAAGCTGTCTACGGTGAATAGACGTCGTAATCCCAGTTTATTATTATTTGTCTCACTTGATATTAAAAACGTTATTATCTTTTTACTATACCACTACATTTTTAATAGAAGACACACATGGTTTTATGTACTACTTTCTTATGCAAAAAATTTTTTAAATCTTACCTATTATACCAATTTCGGCTGTGACTACCTTGTCCATGTCAGCATGATGGACTGAGACAAAAAGGAACCTACGTCCTTCGCCGCCGTCCAAAACGATACGTATATGGCAAATTTTATAAAGATTAGTTATGCCGTTAAGGTGTGAATGCGTAACAAAGGAGCTAAACTCGCTTACGCATTTATATTAGGCTCTCTTTTACTTCAACAGTACCAAATAGGGAAATATAAAAAACGAAATTTAACATCAAAACATGTTCGAAGGATACTAGACAGGTTGTACTATGTGTGCTAAAGTACTCATAAACATTTTGTTTTATATTTTAGATAATATATTAAAACATATATAGCAAACAAATATGTGTACTGCTGAGTACTTGTGACTTTATGGAAGTGGCATGGTGTTTAAACTGCCGCACAGCCATCGTCAAATTTATCGTAGCAATTTTTTTTAAATAAACTAAAATAAGCATAGGATAAATTAGCATAGTACGTTGATATCAAATTACCAATATTAACACCATAGGTAATATGCTAATAATTTGAAAATTTACCAAATAGCAAACTAGTTAGTGCGTTGATGCTGTCGCCAGTAGCTAGCAGTAAAGTAGCGTAAATAATTAGCACATATTCCTAAATATTCGTTAGATCCTTGTCATTTTATTTTAATGCGGACGTTTTCTAATCTGTCCATCGGAAAAAAATTAAAACCAATAATATATACAATAAATTTACGTGAATAAAACGTTTATTTCGTAACAATAAATAAAAGTTTTATTTAAGTAAACTAAAGATAAACACTATTTAAATGTGATTCTCTACAATTCTACAGCGACATTCGAAATGCAGATTCAGCCGAGAAGTATGGCAACAAACTTGGATGTTGCACTTTTCAAACAAATGTTGTACAACTTTACATATTTTATATTTTGTGTGAATACAAACTAACAAATGGCACAAAGGCGTAGGAATGAAAATTCTAAAGAGGTGCTTTCTCGTACATATTATGGTACATTTTCTTTTTGAGCGATAGAAAATATATCTAATATTATGTATTGTACTTTATGCAGTTTTGTTTATAAATTTTGTATAAATGACTGTATACATGGCATTAAAATTAGCTACATAGATATAGTTTAGTTTCTTCAGGATTGGAATTGACTATTTCTTATAACTTTAGTGGCTCTCCTTAAAGATAATAAGCAATATAATTTAATTTGAATTTCAACCAAACTAGACTGATGATTCGGACCGCGTTCCGCGCCGCGAGTCTACAAAATTTCCTTCTCCGTAACCGTTCCTCTGTTTACGTTTTGGCCAATATAAATTATATTGGATTATTTCTTTGGCTCGTTTCAAAAACTTTAGCAATTTAATGTTTTTTCCTTATGTCTATTGGGTCGAGTTCTCTTAAAAAACACTAATTTGTATTGCATTTTGTTATTTGTGTTTCCATTGCTGTTTAATAGGCTAATTATTTAAAATATCTTGCCAACGACTGTTCTAAATCACAATGTTCTGTAGTTGCTACCGCAGGCATGATTAAAGGTAGCATGAGGCAACATGAACAACTTATTATCTTGTATATACATATATTATATTTTATACATGGTGTGGGGAATTATATAGTGCAATACAGAAAGGGAAAGGAAACCCTCTATCAATCCCCTGTAGATAAACAAACTTTATACTTTTTAAAGTGCAGGCAAACTCGCGAGTAACAGGCATGTATACTTCCATATTATTATAATAAATAGAGAGGGAGCTGATTTTGTTGCGAATATAATAAAGTCTGAAACCATTACACTGATTTGAGCAATTCATTCATTGTTTGAAATATACATGTTGAGTTACAAGGGATATGTAGTATGTTAATATAAACAAAACACAAAGAATTACAGAAATGTTCTTTCGAATAAATTCACCGATACCACTCGCGCCACCTATTTGCATTACTGCTTAAGTTAATCGTACGGTGTCTATAACCGTCCCGCGCAATAAATTAACAAAGTCGTATAGCAATGGAATAAACGGTATGGCAGCGCGTACAATACGAACAAACTTACAAATATTTACTTAAATATGTGAGATTAAATTTAAGTATCATAATTGCACTTCAAACACACTACTACATGGTAAATATAAGCATAGTTACAATTTACTGCAACAAATTCAATATTTGCAGTCGTAAACTTTACTATAGTACAATGATTTTTCACTGTCAGACGCATACCTACCGGTCCAACTATACGTTACATGTTAACCTTAACGTGACGGGGCTTGTGTATTGTAGATAGCGTATAAGTTGTTGAAAACTCTTTGCACACTGTTATTATTTACATATAGAATATTATGCCATGTCTATTTTTATATATAATATATTATATTATTATTGTACTTTCATTTTTTCATTAAATTGAATGTTCTACTTTGTTTAAGTATTTCAATATAATTATTTACCGTATTATTCCTTCTTGAAGTATATTTTGTAGAAAGTCCTCAACATGGGCCTTTTGTTTCGCCTATTTCAGATTGTCGTGTGATGTGCCCTCTGGTATGCCAAAACATTAGCAGTGCCACGGGCATCCCATGTTCATGCGTAATCGTGGTGCTGTTTATGTATATAGGCGACGGTAACCCCTTACTTTGAGTTAGACCGTTAACTTAGTGGATTATAATTTGTTCCAATGAGCTATGTATTCTAATGTATGTATTCATGTATTACTCCGATTAGCCAAAGGTCTACTCTGATTGAAATACGGAAATAAATCAAAATTATCTGTTTGTGTGATGTCAGATAGAACTTAAATATGCGCAGGTAAATGTGGACATGTCAAATTACTTTTTAACCAAATCATCTTTCCCATATGGTATATTGCTGATGCTATACGGCTTGGTAATTAATTAATTATGTTGTAACAGGTCGCTGTCTGCCGGTGCTGTGTGTTCATCTGTTCCACAAATATGGACTTATATCACACTTCAACCTGGACGCGGCTAAAGTGTGGAAGCTGTTTACCATGATCGAGGAAGGGTACCACAGCACAAACCCATACCACAACTCTATCCACGCCGCGGACGTGACACAGGCCATGCACTGCTTTTTACAACAAAAACGGGTAAGTACAAACATATGTCGTTACTAATCATATACTGTGGTTTCTATACTAATCCGTCGACCCACAGTCGCATCTACTGCAGACTCTATTTATTTGCGCTTAGTATTCATTCAAAGTTTTTGATCTAGAACCCTCGTCAATAATTACGTTATAAAATGCGAAAAGAGTATTCTAACTTTCTACCAGAGATTAGGAGGCTTAAACAAACAAATTTGAGCTTTATCTATTAGTATAAATTAGGCGAGATCCACGGTGCTTTCAACAGTACTTGTAGCTTTAAGGTAAAATAGACGCAACGTTTTAAGATGGGACAGATTATAAAATAAAATTATTTCATCCATTTTGGCTGACATCGCCTAAACAATTTTAATTAACACACGGGACAGTGCCGTTGACTGAATATAAATATTATGGAGTTAATAATACTATTAAAAATGCTAGCTGCCATTTTATATTACAACCTTTTTTTTATAAGCACTTTTTTTGTAGATAAAAGAGTATTTTGTTTTCGTAATTAGTGTAACTCTAAAGTACAAATTTCAACAGAAATATACCTTTTTTTTGTTTGTAATTAATATTATTGATTCTCAGGTGATTTTACGTAATAATATATTCGATATTATGTTATCAACGTATAATATTGCTGTATTGTATTGAAAAAAAAATTCAGTACCTGCGTAATTGGATAGCTTGTTTAAAAATATAATTATTATTTAGACTTTAAGGGAGACTCGAATGGGTGTTTTTTTAGAAAGCGCGCCAATTATAATACATTTGTGCGCCAAATATAATAAATACATGTACAATAGAACAAAAACACTGAAATATATTTGCCATAATAGATGCATAACCTCCCCAATGAAAGCATGCGAGGTGGAAGGGAAATATATCATAAACATTGTAATTTCATTCCTTGATTCGCTGAACTGGAGCGCGATAGTTGTGGCTAACCACAATTTTCAACGTGTTTCAGTCGCGTATACAACCCACTGAACTATGGATTACGATGCCCTTTATTCATTGAATTTTTTAAGTAAAAAAGTATTTTAAATTTGATAAGGTTCGCACTTGTTCACCTTCTATATATCTAAATATATATAACGCAAAGGTGACAGACATAGTGATCTATCAACGCACAGCCCAAACCACTGAACGGATCGGGCTGATATTTGGCATGCAGGTAGATGTTATGACGGAGGCATCCGCTAAGAAACGATTTTTATTAATTATACCCCCAAGGGGATAAAATAGGGGATGAAAGTTTGTATGAAACTTTGTCAATTTTAAACCGATTGGGCTGAGACGTTGCATGTATAAAGCTACTATGACGTAGGCATCTCCTAAGTAAGGATTTTGATGAATTCCACCCCTAAGGGGATAAATTAACGTCAGCGAGGCGGGGGCAAAAGCTAGTAATAAAAAAAATTTAATCGACTGTTTGTAATGTCATCATTAAATTAGCAGATTCGGACTAAATGCATATTGAAGTAGAAATAGTAGTAGTACATAAAAATGTTAAGTAAATAAAATTTTGTGTCTGTTCGTTTTTGCTAATTTCTGAAACGGTTGGACCGATTTTGACGGTACTTTCACTTTCAAATAGCTAATATTATAAGGAGAAACTTATGCTCCTTTTATTTTAGAGATTTTATTTATTTAAAAAAAAAAGAAAGTTAAATTCGACGCGAACGCAGTTGCGGATAACAAATACATATAAACATTTCAGAAGAAATTCTTTAAAGATAACATTATCAAAATCCATTGTGCAGGTAAGAAGAAGTAAAACAGACAGCAAAACAATGACTTTGTTTTATACTATTTATATATTGCACTTGGCCATCTATTATTACATTAGGGCAGTACTTTCCAAACTATGTCGTGAATTCGCGGTGTAGGTACTGAATGAATTGCAAGCGTATATTCGGCGGGCCCTGAAACATGACGACATATCCAACGACCGACCGTGCCGACAGCCAGACGGCCACTGTCTCACTTGACATGATAAATGCGATAGTTTGTACAGGGATGCCAATCGTTCGAGAATCCTTTTTTTATATAACTATTCTAATGCTGTTGGCCGCAGCTGGCTTGTGCAGCTTCAACGAATGATAGAGTGCAAATGGCACTTCAAACCCGCGGAAGGACTTATGGAGCGACTGACTGCCCATTCCTGCCTGACAGATACGACTTTACACTGATGGCACTGCTAGTTGGTTCGCACTTAGTTCTAGTAGTTTGATGTAGTCATGTTTAATTTTGGGGACAAGGTATAAATTCTGATTTGACCATAATAGTCGTACCTATTGTCTTTAAATAGAAACACGTTATTGTGTGGACAGTCCAGTTCTGTTTAAAAGCTCTAAGTGTAAGTACCTACATATATGTGAAAGAAGAAATTAATAGTCTCCGTGTATCGTTCGCTGTTGCCGGTTCGAAATAATATTTTAATCTTCGTACGAGGCTAAATGTTTTATAGTTGACAACCCTGAGTTTATCGTTTGAGGGTCAGCTTTTACTCGGTAATGCTGTGCTTGGAGCAGATTTGCACCGCACTATTATAATGCATTTAGAGGCACGTCGTCAATACAAGGTTCTTCTACATGCCATGTCGGTGTTCGACCCATTAGACCAGGAACGCTCGGAAAGCTATCGTGTAATTTTAATTTGACGTGAAGATTGATGGTCACGAAGACGAAAATTGGCTATTTCTATATCGAAAAGTACGGTAGGTGGAGAAGCTAGATTGTAAGTACTAGGTAACTCCTAGTCACTGTACAAATTTCTGAACGTAATTTAACAATAGGATACCCACCGTATATATAAAAGTAAACAACCCTATATATTTTGTTGACCTCGGTGGTCCGTTCAGCTCACCACCTCACTTTCGGTGGTCTCGGGTTCGATTCCTCACATAGTGTGTTTGTACTTAGAAATGTGTCTAAATATCAGTCCCCCTAGTACCCATAACACATGCTCCGCTTATCTCGGGACTAGATGGCGCTATATGAATTGTCCGGAGATATTATTAGTATTCAATTAAACTGTACAAGTTTTCATTGTGGACGCACCTTAATGTAGTTATGTTATAATAATGTTCCCGTAATTTGACCATTTTCTAATTGCTATAATTGCGACCCGATAGTTGTGTCCAACCATAATTGTAACACATACATATATGATAAATGATGGCAGTTTTCAGAATTGCAACGGAATGTACTTAATTATTCTGACTATAATTTAAACTAAATTGAAAACTATTATATTTTAACAGGTATTGTTTCATGGATGATCTACGACTCGTCCTTGCATTTTATTATAAATGTAGTATTTCTTTAAAAGTGACAGTAATTTTATTTTTGTCACTTATAATGTAGATTTCTATGTAATAATAGAATTACCAGATATACACCGTACTTAATTATTCTGACTATATTTATAATATAAAAACTATTTTAATAGGTATTGTTTCATCAATGATCTACGACCCGTCCTGGCAATTATTATAAATGTAGTACTTCTTTAAAAGTGACAATTATTTCATTTTTCTCACTTACAATGTAGATTTCTATATAATAATAGTAGTATCAGATACACACCACACTCTTTCGGTTTTTGCCCATTAGTGTGGCATACACCACAAAAATAAACAGCAATAAATGAGAAAATGAAACGAAATAATAGTAATAGCTCACGACAATTTACAGAGCGTCGTCTAGTGCCAAGCTAAGCTGAGCGTTAGTATGTGTTATAGGTACTAGACAGATGATATATATTTTTTTTTCTAAATAAAAACTTATTATACATAGCAAACACTCAGACAGATTCAAACAATCATACACGTGAGTACAAATTAGTACCGTGCGAGGAATCGAAACCGATCGTCCATACTGGCAGTTAAAATATGTGAAACAACTTTTTTAAAAGTTTTATTTATTTGCTTTTTTACATTTACCGATGTAGACTTTATTTTTTATTCAGCGGTTAGGTCTCTTGCTTGGTACCTGTAGATGTTTCATTGTAGATATTTGACTTCAAACCATAGAATTGCGGCCTACGGTAGCTCCAAACCTACAGTTTATACAATTTCGTCTGCCAATTTCAGCAGCCAAGCAGATGTACCCCTATCTTTCGGTCTAAGTCTATTGTGAATAGATTTCTTTTGAGTAAGCGCGCTACATCCTAGGTTTCGCCAACATTTCTTACCAGATGAGCAAGGCAAAGCCCATTTGTAATAAAAAAAAGAAAAAAACGGTTGTCGGATTGCTGTTCATGGAATACGTTTACCATTTACCATAAATGGGTCAACAGCTTAAAAAAAGATTCAAATGATGCATAAAACAATTTTTAGTCTTTAAAAGACTATATATAAAATTTTTCAAATTAGATAATCATGTTTTTGTACAAAAAAAAATTCATTGCATAAATAATTAATGCATAGCAGTTTTTACGTTGTGCCTCCTCCTTGTTAATGTGTATTTATTTTAAAAAGTAACACGCAAGTTTCTTTTTCCTTTTTGTGAAGAGACTAGGTTGTGAATGAGTGTTAGAATAAAAATAAATATGAATTATAACAAATGCTTATATTACCTTTATTTGAATAAAGATTGTTTCATTTTCTATTTCATTTTAATTACATAATAATGAAAATATATTTCATGAAGGATATGTAATCGAATTACGTTCTACTTAACTTTAAGTATGCCCGCATGTGAGCCTGTGTCGTCAGGTACCCTAATCCAACGCAATACTTCAGGCTTTCAGAATGTCCTGTCAAATATAAGCCGAATGACTTAAACCTTATAGGTGTAGCGGTATAAGATATTGCTTTAAATAGTCGCGGATTAGATCCATCACATTGTTTAAAATGTTGAATTCATGAGTATTACTGTTTGAATTGGTCTTCTTAAATACGAATATTGTGTATTGTTTATGACATCAATTAGTATTCAATTTTTCAGAGTCCATCGTACAGGTTCTGTCATTTGGCACTATATAGTGCT